ATGAGCTGTGGGCAGTACACAGATAAAAATTCTGAATTTTAATTGTGATGTAAACATTTATTCACGTAAACTTAAATTTAATTTCACACAACCGAGCAACTTGTAAACAATGTTGTTTACAATGATGGGCTTTTGTATACAATATTTGTTACATTGCATGAATTGTGCTAGAACTTTACATGATATATAATGTAAACTTATATGATATATGACGCTCCATTTGTGTGCATCATATTGAACAGAAATTTACACTACTTTTCGAACTGTGGGGGGTTGTTATGTCGACACACCCTAGCATACATATCGCTTGAAAACCCGACTTTGGTCTGAGGATTGTCGTACACCAATCGACTTTGCTCGACAATATCAGAAATTGTATGTGTGAGTGCTCCCCAGCACTCTTTTGAGCTGTATTGAGATCCCCAACAACTGTGCCAAATTTAAATGTGTTTGGTTACGATCTGGATTTGCGGGAGAATTTCGTATACACTTAGAAATAACTACTTTTACACGACACGTAATCCATATTGGACGTAAATCATGGAACGTAAACAAACATTTCATGTAAAATTAAGTGTTCTTAAACCCAAACAAGCACCTCAACGAAGTGAACGTTTGATTGAATTGATTTTCTCGTTTCTTTCAACTGATTCTTATTTTAAAAAGGGCCGCTTACATCTGTCGGTCTCAGGGAACCGAAATTTACATGAATTTTTCGTAGTGTGTAGTTTAAATTTTAAAATATATTAAGGTATTAGTACACGAGACAAATATTTGTCTAAATTTGACAGATACATTAAGTGTATCTGTCAAATTAAGACAAATATTTGTCTCGTGTACTAATACCACTAATACCTTTAAAAACGGAGCAAAACTATACATTAGCAAAGATTCATAAATTGCTAAATTTTGACCAACCCTAAGATTTAGATTGGGAAAACTATGCAGACCAGCTTTGTCCAAGCCCACAAATTCGATTTCTGTGCAAAAAGTTATATTTTTTATACTTTAGGCCTAGTGCTCTGCTCGATCGAATGCCATTTGATCGAATGCCATTTAGCCGAATGGATTATTTGGCCGAATGCCCTTTGACCGAATACCAATTAGTTGCTAATTGATAAACGAAATTGAAATTGGCCCTGGCCTGTACTTTGCTCCGTCTCTCTTGCTGGCAGTGTGTGGAACTCTTAACCACTATAACCTCCTTACTCGCCTCTAGCCTTGCGTAGTATGTTCGGACAGCATCAGCTGTGCTCATGTACTTCTCATTCTTTCAGCGCTAGCTAGTGTTGCTAGATCACTGCTCTTCGCTCCATTTACCCTGCAGTTCCGATATAATCTGCGTGACTGCTCTGTTAATGACATTCCAAGTGCCCTTCTCTTGACACATTTCATCGATGACATTCTCCACGTTAAGGACGGGCCCATCACACTGCGTGTTCGAACCGATGCAGGTATTTCCTGAAGCAGCCGTTGCCAGACAAGAACTGCGTTAGGTGCAAGTTGACTTCACCGTATTTTCTGATCACCCAGGTCAAAAGAATCGGTATTAGTCTATGTATCCATCTACCGCTCTCCGCCGTGTTCCACTCCTGTTGCCAGTTAGCCAAAGACTCCGCTCTCACCACTTTCCTTACTCGTCCGGCTTCTCTCCGCCTGTATCACTCACTGTCCTCCGCCAGGGTGGTGCCGTAGGAATCATTCGGGTGATACCGCATACTGCTTCCGACGAGATGGTTCTGTACGCAATCACGACTCGTATGGCCATGAGTCGGAACGTACTGCTCAGATTTCTTTAGTCCTGCTTGGTTTCCAGCGCTGCAACCCAGACTGGACCTATATAACTCGACGACGACACACTGGCCAGAACACGCCTATTGCTACTGCTGGGGCTTGCGTCTCGCCTGTTACCTTAAAAACGATGTCGTCCGCAAAGTGAAGCAGCCGTGGCCAGACAAGAACTGCGTTAGGTGCAAGTTGACTTCACCGTATTTTCTGATCACCCAGGTCAAAAGAATCGGTAATAGTCTATGTATCCATCTACCGCTCTCCGCCGTGTTCCACTCCTGTTGCCAGTTAGCCAAAGACTCCGCTCTCACCACTTTCCTTACTCGTCCGACTTCTCTCCGCCTGTATCACTCACTGTCCTCCGCCAGGGTGGTGCCGTAGGGATCATTCGGGTGATACCGCATACTGCTTCCGACGAGATGGTTCTGTACGCAATCACGACTCGTATGGCCATGAGTTGGAACGTACTGCTCAGATTTCTTTAGTTCTGCTTGGTTTCCAGCGCTGCAACCCAGACTGGACCTATATAACTCGACGACGACACACTGGCCAGAACACGCCTATTGCTACTGCTGGGGCTTGCGTCTCGCCTGTTACCGTCAAAACGATGTCGTCCGCAAAGTCAACGATCTCAACTCCTTTGGGCAGCTTCAGCGTTAGTACGCCGTTGTACATCCTGTTCCAAAGCGTTGGACCTAGAATGGAGCCTTGTGGAACACCCGCTGTGATCTAATCGATCTCTGTACCATGTATGTATCGTAGACCTGAACCCGGTTCTGGAAGTAACTAGTCATGATCGTGCTCAGGTAGTCAGGGACCCTCATTCTATGCAGCGCTTCGGCGATGGCCTTCCAGCTTTACACCTATCGTTATCACGGTGCAATATCGATCTCCTCTCCGCTTCTGTTTGGACGCCTTCTCAGCTCTCTCGACCACTGTCCGAATTGCATCCACCGTTGATCTCCCTTTCCGGAATCCAAACTGCCTCTCCGACAATCCGTGCTCACTCTTCGTGCATTTCGTCAGCCTGTTCAGGATGATCCTCTCCAAGAGTTTTCCGAGTGTATCCAGCAGGCATATAGGCCTATACGATGCTGGATCCCCCGGTGGTTTTCCTGGTTTCGGCAGCAACACTAGCTTCTGTATCTTTCACCTATGCAGCACCATCCCGAACATGTCCGGGACGCCTGGATCGCCGATTTCAACGCTACGTTGGAGATTCCATCCGGACCGGGATCTTTCTTCACCTTCAATACTTTCGCCACTGCTACGAGGTCTTCGTTGGTGACTTCGACATTATCTCCCTCTCCTTCTCCGTACGGTGCAGGTGGCCAGGTCGTTGGATCGTGCTTCGGGAAAAGTCCTTCCACGATGAATTTCAGATTCTCTGGACACATTTCAGCGGGCATCGTTGGACCTCTGATCTTCGCCATCACGACTCGGTATGCGTCGCCCCAGGGGTTGGCATCAGCGTTTTGACACAGCTCCTTAAAACAGTTTGACACTCGGTTTGACTTGCTGTGCTTTATCGCTCATTTAAGTGCCGTCTTGGCCGCTCGAAACACTCCTCTTCGATCCTTGCTGTATGCTTCTGTTCTTGCTCTCTGAACACGTCTTCTGGCTCTGAGACAACTAGCGCGGAGGGTGCTAAGTGCCTCGTTCCACCAGTAAACTGGACGTCGTCTGTTGTTTGGCTCCAGTTTCCTCGGCATGGTCGTGTCACATGCTCTCACTAACGTTTCTGTCAGTTCGTCCACGTTCAGAACCATGGAGCTCCTTTCCACACGGAGTGCCTTAATGAAAAGATCCTTGTCGAAAGCCTTCGTCTTCCACTTCTGGTCACAAGTTCTCGTCCTCCGTACTGCCACAGTATTCCGTTGGCCGATGCCATATCGGATCGCCTGATTGTCGCTTTGGGTATATGCTTCGCACACTCTCCAATCCATGTTAGCCACCAGCGATGGACTGCAGAAAGTAACGTCGATAATGGATTCCCAGCCATCTCTGCGAAAAGTGCTGCTGGTGCCTTCGTTGGCCAGCATAACTTCCAGTTTTACTAAAGCTTCCAGCAGACTGTGTCCTCTTGCATTGAAGTCTCTTCCGATGACTACTGGCCTTCGGCCGATCAGCTCTTCGGTAAGTCCATCCAGCATCTCATGGAACTTATGCATCGTCCATCTGGGGTGCGTAACAACTACATATGTAGATTCCGTTGATTTTGGCTATCACGAAACCTTCGTATGAGCTCGCAACCACTTCTTGAATGGGGTATCTGCCCATAACTTGTATAGCAGCCATCCCAGCTCTATCCGCCACCCAGTTACCGTGATCGGGAGGGACTCGATACGGTTCCACAATGATTGCAACGTCGCACTTTGTTTCTGTTGTCGACTGCCACAACAGTTTCTGAGCAGTGTCGCAATGATTGAGGTTTATTTGGGTTACCTTCATTACTGTTGGCCTGTCATCGCCTTTTTGTATGCTAGGCATTTGAAGCCTCCCGTCGTATGATCGTTTCCGTCCTCTTTTTGCAGAACATACACCTCGGTTGCTTCGTGCAGCCTCTTGCAATATGACCTTTCTCTCCGCATTTCCTGCATAGATCAGATCCGATCAGATGTGTGTTTGTTTGTGTGTTTGTGTGTGGATAATTCAGCTTTTTTTTTAATATTTTAGGAAAGTTTACACAATTTTCAATAATGTACTCTTTAACCAAACTATTATAGGTATTACAATTTTTTAGATATTTTTGTTATACTATATGCATATGAGGGTCTGGTGAATTTATTGGCAGAGGGAGGCAAAAGTACCCCTCTTAAGTCGGTACCAATGCGCGTACTCCAGGTTGGGAACTGCTGTATAAGATGCATCGTCTAGCTAACAACTTTGTAGGGTTAAGCATAACTAGTTAGAGGTTAATTAATTTATTCTGTTACAGTCTGTATCCACTAATCCTCCAAGCGGTATAACACCCAACATTGTAACGCCATCATCGTGCGCTACTGGACTAGAACGATGTTGCTATGCCGGTCCTTATCAGTGTGGGCTCCAGTATCCACCAGTTGCTTCTGCAAGAGCACCCTTAGCTGGTCAAGCTGCCTACGGTGAATATCCTTGGCAGGCGGTTCTGCTCGGCCCTGGTGATATCTACATTGGATCCGGTGCTCTAATTGACCCATTGAATGTGATTACGGCAGCTCACAGAATAGCCGACTACATGTGATTATTATGCAATTGATGGTATATATTTTTTATATTCTGAGTTTTCTTAAATTTTCAGAAGCGGCTCAAGGGTACTGAGGGTTCGTTTGGGAGAATGGGACGCTTCATCGGCATCAGAACCTATTCCCGCCCTGGAGTACACAGTTACCAAAATTTTCGTTAATCCAAACTATAATTCTGCGAACTTACAAAACGATATTGCAATGTTGAGACTGTCGTCGGCGGTTCCATTGGGAACTACTCCTACGATAACTACGGCATGCCTGCCGGCCACATCCTTTGTTGGATCAACATGTTGGGTATCGGGCTGGGGTAAAAATGATTTTATCAGTGGAGCATTTCAAGCTATTCAGAAGGAAGTTGATGTTGCTGTGAAATCATCCACCGATTGCCAAACCGCACTCAGAACGACACGTCTAGGACCGTCCTTCGTATTTGACTCAAACAGCTTTGTCTGTGCGGGTGGTGAAGCTGGAAAGGATGCCTGCACTGGAGATGGAGGATCGCCTCTGGTGTGTTCTTTGAATGGACGCTTTTTCATTGTAGGGTTAGTGGCATGGGGAATTGGATGTGGAACTTCGAATATTCCGGGAGTGTATGTAAATGTTGCATCTTATATACCGTGGATTACTAGAACTGTAAGCTTGACTTGAAAAATCGTTGGATTTTTTTTATTAACTATCGTAATTTGTAAGACCTATGCAAATAAACCATGTTTTCAAAATCATCTTCTATTAATTTTATTTTATTTTATTAAAACCTATAGTTTTTTTAAGCTTTGGTAAGTTTTGCCTTATTTAAGTTCTGATGTGCTGTACTTTCAGGAAAAGAAGTTCAGTACTTTCTGAAAGAGATCTATGTGAGCCTGGACAATAAATGTTGATCAAGTTTTTTATGGGATATTCTTAATTTTTTATTGGCATTGTTTATATATATTTGGGATAGGTTTTAATTGATTTTTCTGTTGCAATTTTTCTATTTCAAATAATATACCTGATTATAGTAAAAAATATGAAAAAATTCAACAACGATTTTGAAAATTATCATTTTTTTAATATTTTTTGAGAATAACAGACGCCCTTTCAAACGCCGTAAATAAACTTTTTGTTTGTTTGCCCCAACCAGAGACATTAACATTTGAAAAGGGCATATTTTTAGTAGAAAAACGTCAATAACTCTTGATCGGCGAAAGATATCGACAAGCTCAGTGCAACAAAAAATTGCGCCTTCTAAAGATCTAAAAGTTATTCCAGGACACCTTTGCTGAGAAATTTGAAATAGGAAAACTAGAGCAAAACAACTGCTTTTGACGTAGACTACGTCTTACGGGACGGTACTGGGGGTAAATCGAAAATCTAAAATTGCGACCGTCACGAACAGGTGTAACTTTGTCATTTATATATGAAATTCAAATCCAAATACACTAATTGATGGGAAATAAATCTCGTAAGCTGTTACAATAAACGCTTTTTCAAACTGTTTTAAAAATGTACAAATAAAAAGTGATAATTTTATCATTGTTTTCATGAAATAAACGTTCTCCCCAAACCCAGTCGAGTACCATTGGGTTGCACATCGTGCTGCTTGAATCTGAAAAGTTATAAAACAGCGCTGCTAATGTGCCTCAACTCGTTTTCGCTTTGGACGACGGGTAAACAGGTAACAGCAGCAGCAGCAGTAGGAAGGCGGTTCCTGTCAAGCGCGCAGCGTTCGAGTTTTGCACCTCGAACTTTGCGCGTCATTCCTGTCGAGATCCCTATATCATGTAGGTAGGGGAAAATTTCCTCTATCTGATGGTGGTGTTAGCATGCGTGGGTGAGCTACCAGTTACGCCAAATCGACGATCAAATGCGTTGTTTACAAAAGCTGATACGTCCCTTCGAAAAAGTAATCGAGAAATACTTCTTGGGCTGTGTACCAATTGCCGAGTTCAATTTAACTCGTGGTTAAACGTGACATTTTGAAAGTTATGTTCAATGTTCTAAAATGCCGGTAATTAATCAGTTTTCAAGCAGAACTCAGCCACGGTTACCAAAATTTAACTTCTAGTCGGTCCGAAATAACCACGCTCGTATAGCGGGGTTATTCGATAACTCATCTGTCACTTTTAACCACGAGTTAAATTTAACTCGCCCATTATGACACAGCCTTGGAAGTAAAATTAGGGCCATCCATAAATTACGTATATTTTTGACCAGTTAACTCCCCTTCCCCCTCGGAGCGTGTTTTGCAATACATCTAAAACATGGCTGGTCCCCACTTCTGAAACCCCTCTCCTCCCTCAACTACTACGTTATTTATGAAAGTTCCCTAATCATTGGGCAACACTAGAAATCAGCAGCACACCACACAAAACGGGTTGGACATTTATGTGAAATTTCGGTATTGATCGTCGATATTTCACGATCAGAACATTTTAGCTTGAAATCCCTCCATTTAATTTCTCCTCCTACTTGGAAAATTATGCTACAGAATAACATAATAACAACCCATACAACCCCAGTTTTTTTGCTGATGGAAACCAACATCTAAGCAACCTGTTAATTTTACCATTGAGTCAGAGACCGCTGGCGCTGCCATAGTGGGAGCGAAGAGGCGTGATTAGCGTTATATACAAAATAATTCCTCTTCGGTCTCAGTATGGCAGCGGCCTAAACAAAATACCTAAAATCCCATAGAACCAGAACGTCAAAATCGAACACATGTTATATTCAATCTGTGTAGCAGTGTTCCATTTGGTGAATTTTAACTTACACTTGATCAATAGGAAATTTTCAAATAAACCTGCTATTGTACCAGACTTATTTCTGGCAAACCAAGAATAAATTTTGACAAACACCAATTCGAAAATCACAACATAAACAAACAACGGAGAGATTTTCGAACATTGTAATTTATTTTCGAAATGTCAAATTTTAGTAAAATAAATTATAATGTTCGAAAATCCCTCTGTTGATGTCCAATTTTTGAGAAATTGTTTATCAAAATTGATTCCTGGTATGTCTGAAATAAGTCTGGTAGAATAGCAGGATTATTTGAAAATTTTCCAACTGACAAATATAAGTTCACCAAATGAACCGCAGCCTAAATGTAGGGGGTTGACAGCTATAGAACAGAAGTGGAACTTCGGATCAGAAAGTGGCTCCATTTGTCATTTGTGAACACTAGCGCACCTAGCGGTAGAAGGCATCTTCTGCCTGCAGTTAAGATAGGCAGCATGTGAGTGTACATAGAAAGCCCGTGTACAACACATCGCTTGTGTGTGTGTGTGTGTGTCATCCTCTATCCCTCACCCAGCCGGGGGCGTTGGACAAGTAGAACTGCGAATAATTTGATCAAATCTCATGCTCCGTAATGGTGCCCTTTATATTGTGAAGACTAGTACTTCAAAAAGGGTAACTTTTGAGGCAAGACAGGGTGTCCTCAACAAGTTAAGGGAACAGGATGCACTAGATGTCCACAACAGGTACAGCAAAACATCACATAGACGCCCTTATTCACACTAACTACTCAGGGGGTAGAAGATCAAGAGGATCCACCGCCGCCAACTAAAGCTTGAACCGGGTACCTGGGACTCCCACGATATACCCGCGGCAATGGTCAGCAGACGATGCCCTGTGCGTATTTAGTATGTAATATGTTTTATTTGGATACGCAAAATGTTTGAAGCCATGCGTCATCTAAACCATAATTTGCATCACCACAAATACACTTGTCAACAATCTTCAACTGGAACGTACTCACCAAATCACTTCACCCGGGAGCGCATTCCCGATGCTTCCACGCATATTTTTCTCTCCATAATGTCACTTTTCCACAATGAGTGCTACAACACATCGCTTGTTGAGCAGAAAAACGAACCACTTTTTGATTCACAGATTTGTTTGCACTTCCCCTTCTGTTCTGTGGCTATAGTATACTCCTAGTCCCACCATCGAATGGCATTTGCTAGATAAGATGAAGTTGCGACATAATTAAACAAATAAGCTCTGCAAACAACGCTATTTGAAAACAATTTTATGAATATGTTACTGGAAAAAATGCAAGGATTAAAAAAGGAGGACATATTCGGGCAAAACGAGGATGTAGAAAAATTATTCAAAAAGGAGGACATGTCTTCCTTTAGGATACCATATGGTAACCCTAGGCCGGGACCAACGGCTTTGTTCCCTTCCGAAGGAAGACGTGACCAGAGATTTTTATGCCACCGGCCTCGGCTGAGATTAAGCCCAGACCCATTGGGGTATGGAAGCAGTCACGCTTACCACTACAGCACCGGCGCCGGCTAGAACTTCGAATAATTTGATCAAATATCATGCTCCGTTATGGTGCCCTTTATGTTGTGAAGACTAGTACTTCAAAAAGGATAACTTTTGAGGCAAGATAGGGTGTCCTCAACAATTTAAGGGAACATGATGCACTACCCGAGCAAAGTCGGTTAACAAAATGAAAGCAAATCGATATTAAAGTGTGCAGTTGCTATCATAATGAAAACTTATTTTGATTTCAAATGTTGCGACATAAGTGCACATATTGTGCTTTCATTATGCAGTCAAAACTTTTTAAATGAAAGCAACTTAACTTGAAATTCTGCTGTTTACGTCTTGATTAAAATTTAATTGAAATTCATCTGTCGTTGAACTAATGATTATTATTTATTTGATTTGTTTAACACATTTTAGGTCATTCGTGACTTACCGGGGTGAGATTGGAGCCCAAGTCTTTCAGCTTGAGAAACATGAATGGTAACCATTTACTCCAGGTCCGTACTCAGTCGAACATTATGAATGCAAAATCAGTAAACAAATTGATTTCATTGAAAGCAGGATTAGTCTTCCGTTTGCTTCAACAGTGTAAAATTTTGCTCTCATTTTTGCTGTGTTAACCGTTAAGTCAACCAAAATGAGATCAACTGGAGTATTCAAAATAAGTTACATCATAACAGCAAATTTTGATTTCAATTTGATCTTCAGCTTTGCTCGGGTAGATATCCACAACCGGTACAGCAAACCATCACATATTTTATTTAAACATCATTCACACTTACTACTCAGGGGGTAGAAGGTCAACAAGAGCCTCTGCTGCCAACTTAAGCTTGAACCGGATATCTGGAACTCCCACGATATACCCGCGGCAATAGTCAGCAGACGATGCATTTAGTATGTAATATGTTTTATTAGGATATATGATTGAAGCCATGCGTTATCAAACCCATAATTTGTATCACCACAAATACACTTTTCAACAATCTTCAACTGGAACATACTCACCAGATCATTACACCCGGGAGCGCATTCCCGATGCTTCCACGTATATTTTTCTCTAGTAATTTTTAAACAAGATTAGCATCGTCAGTAAATCTATTTTTATAAATATATTATATTATATACTATCATGGTCAATTTAAAGCATCTTGTTTCAAATAGCAGTTTTGTAGGTGTAAAGATTAGAACATTTTGCTATAAAGAATAATTAATTCAATTCTATTGATGCAAAACTAGTATTAGTACTGCTGTTATTCAACATAGATCAAACCAATTTTTCATAATTTAGAAAATTTAAAATAGTAGTAGCTTCAACCACAGACAAAAAAACATAACATATTGAATATGTCTCATTTCTCAATGTAAAACATCGTCGCTAAAACATTACCGCCATCTGTTAAGTACACTGTGGTGGGTAGTACGCTGAACAGATGGCGGTAGTGGGTAAACGTCAAAAGCAAGAGAATTGACTATGCGTGCTACAGGTGGCGGTACTACCAACTACGATATTTTTAAATTTATCGTTAAATGCTTGTTCAATGAACAACTTGCGAGTGTTATGTCTGTTTGTCTGTACTTCAACTATGCTTATATCTACACACTTAGAAATTATTATTTTTACACGAGACGTAATTCAACTTTGACGTAAATCATGGAACGTAAACAAACATGGCATGTATAAATCAGTGTCCTGAAACTGAAACACATGCAACTCGAGGAAAAGTGCGTTTGATTGAATTGATTTTCCCGTCCTTTTCAACTGATTTTTATGTCAAAAGGGCCGCTTGCATGTGTCGGTCTCAGGGCACTGAATTTTACATGTCTTTTTCGTAGTGTGTAAGTTAATGTACCAGAACCTGAACGGACACTTGTGCCTACCCAGGGATGCGACCACCCATGTGAGTGTAGAGTATCGCACAAGCTGACAAGTGCAACAGGAAGGATGCAGCTACCTGGGGGTTGGTCCCTAGATACGTCAACTTAGCGGAAGGCACGGGATATGCACTGAACAATTACAATTAAAATTTGTAGCAAATAAAATGCAAAAAAAAGTCTCGAAAGGAAAAATAAAAGTGTTAGTTATGCGAATCTAAGTGTTTGTGGAGTTTTTTTTAAGTTAGTTTAATAAATATAAACATATCAGTATCAGGATATTCGTAAATTTTATTATAATAACGCTAACCACTATCAATTGGCATCTGTTTTCATATCACGTGATAAAACTACGGACTTTGATCATGAAAAATGTGAAAACAACATCAAGTCAGTTTTTCCCATAAAGCAAAGTAATCGCACATCAGTCCCATCCTGAAATTCAATCGTCCAGGAGTCAAGTTACAGTTCTGTTTTTTGAATCGCCATATTTTTCGCTGATATAACAAACCTTGCAGGCTTCATTGCAACTGATTTTAACTTGAAAAAATATCAAGTAAATTACTATGATTTTTCAAATATTTAAATGGGAATTGCACTTCGTAACTTCAACTGCCATTTTATTAATTCCTACTTTTTCCAATGGCACTGATATGAGATTATAGGCAGTTACATATAGACGGGAGTCGGAAATAAATGTTTTAGGGGGTTTAAAGTCATCAGATTATCTAAAACAAGCCTCTTTGTTCTATTATTGTTTTATTTCCGTAAAAATATTTACAAAACAATTTTTCATAACTTGCTCTGCATTTTTAAAGACAATCCGTAACGGATTCTACGTCTTTTGGAAGCTAATTCTAGTACAAACATGACTAAAGTTTGGGAGCGTCGTTCTTTTCGAAATCAACTAGGTAAATGTTGTATTTTTTCTTCAGAATCGAATGAATCTCGTCCTTGCAAAGGAATTTCAAGCCATTTTGTTTGTATTTCAAATAGGTACGAACAAAGTTGCGGTTGGTTTCATGCACTTTTGGATGCTGTAAATAGTCATCAGTATCCATCCATTCACATTTGGATATTTCCCGGTCACACTTTACTATATCACTACTTTCTGGTAACAGGGCCATAACTATGTACAAATCGGAACATCCAAAGCCAGTACCGTGGGCATGTCGCAACGAAACGACGGATTCAAATTTGGTTTTGATATTGGTTTCCTCCTGAACTTCCCGAATGGCTGCTTCTACAAAGTTCTCTCCTAAGAGTGCAACAAAATCATATTAATCAGAAATTTTAAAATTAGAAAACAAAATGTGTCACCTGGTTCTACGTAACCTCCCGGAAGTTTCCACGAGCCCTTGATCAATGCGTTTTTCTCGCTGACCACAAGTATTTGGTTCTTATCATTAACGACTAGAGCTCCAACGCCTACCATTGTGTGTGCGAATGGTGGTATGTTGGGACTTTCATGGGACGGCAACCAGCGGTACATCATGACAAACTCATCTTTGGCGTGGTGGAATTTGAATTGGCTCTAAAAGAACTATACGTGTAGTGCAAAATATTCATCTAATCACAAAAAAAAGATACCTACATTGACCAACGTCGGAACCCAATGGCTGGAATCTAGGTACACTTTGAACCATATGCCTCGTTTTTTACTTTCTGTCCAATGGGAAAGAGAATCTGTGAATTATATAAATAAGTTTTGAAGTAGGTTAGTTTGCTAGACTGTATTTATGGAAAACATGTTAGGTAAAATGGTTAAGTTTAGAGCTCAGCTTGTTTTGATTATAATAGAAATCGTAAAAAAAAAAATTTTCTTATTAATTATCCATAGGAAAACACATGTTACAGAGTGGTTCAGGGAACTTTTAAATATGTGACTAATTTTATTCACATATACATTACATTACAGTTTTGTTCTAGGGTAAGTGTGGCACTGCTGGTCCTTTAATTGGCTCATCTAAAAAAAATCATATTTTTTCTATTGCACAGATAAAAATATTTTGTAAATTTAAAGTAGGTTTTAGAATATAAAAATAACACGCTTAACTATATGAAATTCAATAAACTAAAGCTGAAATTCAATAAATTAAAGCTGAAATTTACACGGTTATGTAAATTTAAAATTACATCAATTTCAATTGAACTTTTGTCATCCATGTAAAAACACACATGCATGTAAAATTTAATGCAAGTGAGTGTATTTTAAAATACTTACATGTAACATTCATGTTTTTTGCTATATGTTTCAACTAAGGGCAGGAACATCAATGTGCGAAATGTAAATTTACAAAGTTTTTGCTGTGTGGAATTAAAAAAAGATATCGATACTAACATATATTTTGCGATATACATACGCAAGTAAAACCATCAACATTTATATAACATTTGATTTAGGCCCTAGGGCCAAAAACTGGAGTATCATAACTCAAGAACAACATGTGAAAAGGGCATACAAGCTTTTTGTGAACAAACCTTCTTATGCCCTTTTCTCGCCACCCATATGGCACCAACGCAAACCATCAACATTAGTGGGTAGGGGAAGCTTTTCCCTACCCGATAATGTTGTTGGTTTGCATAAGCGACCCTCGGTTGGCGAGAAAAGGACCCTACACAGGTTTGTTTACAAAAAGCTGGTATGCCCTTTTCACATGTGGCTCTTGAACTGGCCTACTTACTCTACTTGAACTTGACACATTTGTGCTAAAATACGGCAACTTTTAATCTGGTGATTTTGAGACCATCGAGATATAGATCAACATTAGCCTTCTAGACTGTTTGAAAGGACCAAGATAACCATCGACATATAGAAAAAAAGTGGTCATCGAGATATAGAACATTCATAAATGGTGAGTAGACTGTAGTACGAAAACGTCACTTGTAATCAAAATGACGTCAGGGAATCAAGAAAATCCTATCTTCCCATGAAAAAATCATGATCAGTGGATCAGTGTACATCTGAAATCATGGTGTTGCAAAAACGATAATCCACTGATATGATAACAATCACTGTTTAATGTATCTCGAAATGTTGGAACTTGCTGTCTTCGACAAAGTTGCTCTGGAGGTCAAAACCCTGCAATATGGATATTTTTGGAACCGGGATGACATGTAGATGTCAAAAATAGATATCCACCGCCTTTTTGAAATCCAAGATGGCGGCCGTTGGCTTCAGAAAAACTGTCAAATGATTTTCATACGATTACACATAAACAGAATCCACTCAGAAGCAGGACTGGCAAATGTCATTTTCAATGAAAGATCTCACGCAATATTTACAGAGTTACTTCTGTCACTATCATCGGATGAGAAAACGATGACAGAGATTTTTTTCAAAATCTCATCGTTTTTTTTTTGTCATGACAGAACGTGACAGTGTTGTGATCATCGTGATTACTAGCTCATTTATTGCTATTAAAGTTACTTGTGCCGAGAAAATCTTAAAAATATATTCACCCTACCGATTACATACGGTTGCTTGCTTAAATTCATCTAAATCAGTTAGCAATGTGGATGTCATAACCGCAAAACAATTATTCTCGTGAGTGCTTGATCATTGAAAGCTCATGATAGGTAGTTTCGTCTCGTGATAGTGAGAGGACCTGTTTTCTCATTGTCACATGACGGCCGTGATACTTACCAGCTCTGTTCAGAACTACACAAGAAATTTAGGTGACAAATGAATAGTATGTGTGGTCACACATGGCTTTAATGTGGATACATTTTAAGTATGCGTCCGAGATATCATTTAAAAAAGCTCATTGATTGTAAAAAAAAACCTGTAAAATATCCTACAATATGGCTATTTTGGAACCGGGATAACGTGATGATTACAAAAATCGATGCCCGCCACTATTTTGGAATCCGAGATGGCGGCCATTGGTTTTAGAAAAAAAAGTCAAATAAACTAGTCAAAATTGCGGTGATTTTCGATATTTACACGTCTTTTCGGTTCCAAAAATTCCTACATTGTAGGATATTTGACAGTTTTTATGAAATCAATGACTACCATCTTGGATTCTAGAGTGGCAGCGGACATCGATTTCCGACATCTAAATGTCATACCCGTTCCAAAAATACCCATATTGTAGAGTACAGTTTTATCTAAAACCAATGGCTGCCATCTTGGAGTCCAAAATGGCGGCAGTCATCAATTCTCTATATCTGCATGTCATCCCTGTTCCAAAAATACCCATATTGCAGGGACAGCTTTTTTGAAATCGTAATGGAGGTAACTTAAATAGAACTCAGTCATTGCGAAATAGCACAGCAACTGTTGCAGTAGTTGACAACGGAAACATAGTGCGACGTTTCAATCATTGCGGAACTGTATCGAATTCTTCTCAAAAAATACGATCGAACACTTGATTTTTGAAATTCACAAACACATTTATTTTAAGTGTATTTTACATTGGTTCAATGTGTTATACACGTTGATTTCTAGTGTTTCAATCTGGCTTGCTTCCACTCACTTGCTATAAAAAAAAAATTACTTTCGGAATTTTTGAATCATTAGAACGCTCACGAATCACAAAACCGCTGATTGTGACACTCTGAAAACGTAATTGACAGGTTTCATGTGTCAAACACATAATTTGCAACCTCTTCTTTTAACTTACATCTAAAAATATCATAATAACATCTAACGATTTTATAATTCCGAAAGTCATTTTTTTATAGCAAGTGAGTGGAAGCAACCCTGATTTCAATCTTAGCAATTACCTGTTTCCTCCATAGGAATTAAATTGGAGTAAAAGCATGTTTACCCATTTTGGGTACCTTCTCTTTTGGCTGGACTGAGTGATGTTCGACTCAAAAATGAGTAGCCTTAAGCGTGTGCCTCTGATGGCAGCTTTGCTTATATATTTGTCGATTCATTTCTAGAGTAGGTAAGTTAAACTTAAAGTGATGTGCTATTGATATCACCATGTGATGTGATCCAAGTGTGTCACTATTCGAGTCAATAGTGTTCAGACATGGTCCATAGCATAAGATTCATATATAAGGGATGTGTTTCACAATAAGTGCAAAATGAAGTGTGAGACACATGATGATGATGCGTGGATTTTTTTTTGAATGTAGATGGTCAATGAAGTAGTTCCACCAGATGCTGGATGAACTTACAGAAGACGGAGATCATCATCGAAGTCATCGAAGGAGATCTCAATGCTTGGGCAGTGGATTGGGGGAGCAGATGTATCAACGCAAAAGGGTATAGTCTACTGGAAGCTCTGGAAAAGCTGGAAGTTAGGCATTCCAACGAAGGTACCATCAGCACTTTTCGCTGAGATGGCCGGGAATCCATTATCGTCATCATTTTCTGCAGTCCGTCACTGGTTGCAAACATGAACTTTAGCCAACGGAATCGTGTGGCAGTACGGAGGTCAAGAATTGGCTAGTGAAAGTGGAAGACGAAGGCTTTAGACAAGGGTATCTTTGTTGAAATACTCCGTTTAGACAACGGCTCCTCAGATCTGAACACGGACGAGTTGATAGAACCGTTAGTGAGGGCATGCGACACAATCATGCCGAGGAAACTGGATCCAAAAAACAGACGGCGCCCAGCTTACCGGGGAACGAAGAACTCAGCGTCTTCCGTGCTAGTTGACTTAAGGCCGGCGCACAATGGATACGTTTTCAGATTTTTTACAGTTAGCCCAGCTGTCAAAAAACCCGAAAACGTATGCATTGTGCGCCGGCCTTTAGAGCAATAAGACGCGTTCAGAGAGCAAGAAAGGAAGCAGACAGAGAGGAGCGAAGGTAGTGCTTTTAGCGGCCAGGGCCGCACTAACATGGGAGATAGAGCTGAACAAATCAAACTTTTTTCAGGAGCTGTGCCGAGATGCTGATGCCAACCCCTGGGGCAATGCATACCGAAGATCATAGCTGAAATTTGCCCAGACAAGCTGAAGGTCATCATTGAGGGACTCTTCCTGGAGCACAACCCAACGACCTGGCTACCTACATCGTACGACGCGGGAAATGGAGAAAATGCCGAAAGTGTGCAAGTTTGTGGAACAGCAAAACATATCCCTAGACTCAGCAACCAAACATCATTTTTGCTGAGATCTCGGCAAAATAAGATTTCCGGGAGCTCGGTTTTGCAAATATCGGCAAACAAAATTAAATGTTTAACATGTTATACGCTTATCTTGATAACATTTTTCTTGTCGATAATTATTATAAAATGTTATAACTCTTTAGTCTGATAGCATGTTCAGACTACAGAGTTATAACATGTTATAATAATTATCAACAAGAAAATTGCCATCAGTGTGGCCTGCGCTTGAACGAGGCATTAGATCGAAAATAGTGTTTTGTTTTCAAGTGATATAACCATTCGGTACACCTGGTTATCTGAGAAAGGCTAAACATGGATCGGAGTCTCACTAAGCGATCACCATGTGTTTTTATGTTACTTCATACGCGAAGTTTGCAAATTTCAGAGTTGGTTGTAAATGCTATCTAACATGAAGCTTTAGCGTGATAATTTATTAGCTAGCGAATGGTCTTTAGAGTTCGGCAGAATGTAAATTGAATAACGGAGCTATCTACCTACCTTCTCCTAAAGACCATTATCTAGCTAATAAATTATCACACTAAAGCTTCATGTTAGATAGGATTTCCAATTAACTTTGAATTCATTATTAATGTGTTTAATATGTTTAGCTCTAGCATTAGTCTTGTCTTTCATTAAGCACTCATTAAAAAGATTACACTTGAACTATTGCTGTGCCCAATGATAAGAATCGAAAAATTGTGAGTGTTTGGCAAATTGCGTCAAAGAAATACAAATTGTTCACATATATAGCAGCTTTTGTTCCCTTTAAAATAAATTCTACTTACTTTGTAAGACAGATGCAAACTTTTCCGGTTGACAGGTCTCAAGATTTGAGTCGACGGTAATTCCATTGAATCGATCAGATACACCTCTGAATATACCTTCTGGTGCATCTTCGACAGCGACATACCTGAAAATAATATTCCGTAATCATTCTGCCTTTTGCGATTCGAAATAATATACTTATTAAACCAGTTGTCGGAGGAATTCAAAATAGTATCAGCTTTCTCACTCATTTTTCTGGTGTAAAACTGAATTATCGGCACAGTGTTGCGCTTATACCGAGACAATAAGTGAGTTCGTACGAGCACACTTGTCATTTAACTTTCGTACAAACAAAAAGAACTAAAATGATAAGCACTGTCTCCGTATCACGCTACCTCATTAATATTTTCCTATTGCAGATACGAGCGAGTCCACTGGGGTATATTATAGTCCAAGGTCAGCAGATGTTACAGTAGCTGATGTAGTGCGATTCCATTGTCTATTTTACTGATCAAATGCGAATCGATTTGCACTTGTTAAGCCTCGACTTCTTGCACAAAGAGTCAACCGGATCACATTGGCTTGGAGAACAATCGGAATGGATTTGTGAATAGCCCAATTCAGAGGAGATAACCGAGTATCTCCAAATGGTTTATATAAACCATATAAACAACTGCACCCACACCACAAATGAATGGGGACGAGCTTCCGATACCACAGAGCGAGTAATGCAAACAGAGATGACCGAATGAATGAGACTCATCCACCGACCGCGTCGCACAGGTACGTCAGCGGAATGCATGTGTTGGTGTATTCTATGGGTGGATAATTTTCCTGTGTGTAAGTTTTTAACTGGACTTTTGAATGCTTCTTTTTAATGATCTTACGTCTCTCGTTGAGATAGCTTATCTCCATTTTTTGCGATATGCTCACCCTTGTTAGATCTAACTATTGTACCGGCGAAGAATCGCAGTCCAGTATTTTCTCAAAGTGCTCCTGAGTAATCATTCAGCTTCAGTGATTTCGTGGATACTGCACGCACAGCAAAAACTTTGTAAACACATGTGGTACATTGATGTATTTTCTGGCCAGCAATAAAACATTAATTTTACATGAAATTTTTTAATAAAACATTAATTTGCAATGAGCGGCGTCGGAGGTGTAGTGGTAAGCGTGATTACCTCTCACCCCAAAAGGCCTGAGTTCAATCCCAGTTAGCGCCGCCAGGATTTTCTGAGGCATACAATCTCTGATCACGCCTTCTTTGGAAGGGAAGTAAAGCCAAATGATATCTAATGTTGTTTTTGAAATCATGTTGATACCATAATTTGATATGCTATGTTACCGTTGCGACGTAATATCCCAACTTTCTTGCCGAATAAAAACCTATTCGTATTAAAATTTCAATGATTAATTGTTAAATGTCTAATTATTATGTGTATATGTCTAAAAATAAATATGAAAGTTAATATAAACTTCTTGTTAGGAATATACAAGTTACCTGCACACTCTACAAGTTAAAATGTTATATATATGTATGATAAAAGCAAGAACAAAGTTTGTTAAAATACACATTTAGTACACACAACAACACGTTAAAATTGCTGCAGGAGACGGTTATTGGATTGTCGCGGGTGGATATAGGACTAATAGAAAGAAAGGAACAGAAAAGGAGAAGAAGAAATGAACGGCTAGCTACTGGGACTGGAGCAACAATCGAGGCTTTTTCCAAAGTACCACGGAAGTGAACAGACCATCGTGCAAAAATACGAAAAGGAGACGAAGCTAGAACCTCGTGAGTGATTGTGGCCGTTTTTCCCCAGACACCCACGGAGTGAAAGGGGTTAGTCTGTACCGCGCGTATCCTGAAGTTTATCGGCTTGAGGCTTCGGCCTTGTGTTTTGTCGCCAATCAGGGCGTGACGACCCACGCTAGCTCCCAGTGTTACCCCCTTGTGGACCAAATCTCGGCAATCCAAGCCCGCCCTCGAGTTTTGAGGTTAAACCGACGACGCTCATCCCAACATCGCGTGCTGTTTCCCTGTGTGAGCCACGCCTGACGGTAACCCTGGCCGTAGCCCGAACCACGGTCAATCACACTGGTTCCCTGAGTGAACCCAACCAGACGACGGCGCCCAGAACCATCACAGACCCGTCCGACCATTCACCCACGACCACGTGCCCCCTCAGCAACCGGCCGGCCAACCATTACACACCCAACCCACTGTAAGTGTTAGTTAGGAAATAAAAAGGATTAAAGTGAATTTGTGTGTCGTTTAATCAATGAAAGATTGAACTCTTGAATAGCGATTCCATGACAAAAGCCGACCCTGAGAGCGAGAGGCCTTAAGCTCGAGCTAGCCAGTAAAAAGAGGCGGATGTAGCCCACCTCAGACGACCTCCGTGGCTAGACCAGAGGTTAGGGGAACCTTTAGACTAGCCCTCCTGGCTAGGCAGTAACAGCTATTTTTTAATTTCGGTTGAATTCATATTTTGATATTATTTTGATACGTCTAAAATTATAATTAAAAACAAAATTTGATATTTTATAAAAGGTGCATCCACATTTATCATTGAAATCTACATTTATTTTCTTTTTTTCTTTTTACGAGTCAATCAGGATGCTTGCTGTTTTCTTTATGAACATCACAAAGACAATTATGATTTTTACAGTGTTCTTTTACAACATTTATTGATATTATTCTACCTGCGAATTGAATTTACAAATCGATATAAAATTGATTTCGTCCTGCTCGTCTTTAATACTTATACTAATTCATTGTCGAATATTGTCATTTAACTTTCTTAGGCTTAGTCGATTTCTTAGCTCATATTTAAACATGTTGTTATAAATCTCATTTCTCAGTTCTTTCCCAACAAAATAAATATCTTCATGTCTGTTAAAATATGTTCGATGTAAAGCAATTGATCATTCATAATAATATAACAGTCATCGTACACTAATTTTTTACATGATTCGTGTTCAACGGTCAACGATAAAAATTTACATGAACAAGTAATATTCAGTTTATATTCATTAAACTAAAGATCGGTAAAAGTATAATTTATTAAATTTTAGCGGAGGTAAGGAAATTGGCTGTAAAATAATTTTGCCGTATGGGTGTGGGATTCAGATATTTAAAACTGAACTTTTCAAAAGTATTCAGTTGAGAACATCAAGACGGACAACTTTGTTTTAGCTCTAACTCTCAATCCCTTTGCGTAATCACGTACTGAACAAATAAATTTAACTACAGTGGAATATAACGTTCCTCTAATGAAATGCATTTAAAGGGCATCGATGGTCGGTGATTAGATCGGCCTCCGCTGGTTGAGCCATGACCCAATTAAAAAGCAACTGGATGTCAAAATCTCATGTCAAATTGGATTCGACGATCAAACATAAATTCTTTTAGATGGTGAGCATATGCGTTTAGCACTGCGAATCAAATGTAATGAATTTAGGTACATTTGGTATTTGTTCGAAACATTTGAGTTTCATTTGAAATTCTAGAAGAAAAGACAAACAAAAATTGTCCATATAATAATTAGCTTTTTGTACTCAGCATCAAGCAAGTTACTTCAATCCACTGCGCTCAAAAAATATTGAAACCTAAATAGTAGTTGCAACTCTCCTGACCGACGGATAGCTCGATATAAAGGGAGAGAATACGAGCTTAGTATACAAATAGTTTATTAGGTTCTGCAGCGTGACGTCACAAATGAACTCAGTGTTAATAGGCTGAACCTTTTTGACAGTTCAGTGGTACTGTTTACAAGCACTTAGTCGTTTTTTTTCGAAAAAACAAATTCTAAAATTTCTGAATTTTAACTTGAAAATTGTCGAGGAACAGCGCGGTGAAAGGATGTTGCTCGTGGACAATGCAGAAGTGTGGTTTACATCTCACTGCAGTCTGAAAAATTATCGAGAAAATCTACCCAAGAAAAAAACGACTAAGTCCACGTAAACAGTACCACACGGACAGAAAATTGTTTGCATTGAACCAAACAAAACTTTAGTTGTATTTAAACAAACAATTCCGGTTGAAATTATATTGCATTTTATTGTTTCTATAAAACTTATTCAAATAAACTCAACATAAGATTCTTTTTGTTTTAATAAGCCACTTTTCAATTGCAACTATTGTAAAAATAACAATATTCTATTATTAAGCCAACAATAGTTAATTTTAATTTAGCATTTATTTGCTGTGTCCATTCCCCGGGCCATGAATACAAAAATAACTACCAACCATTCCCTCGTTTTCACCCAGACAAAAATGTAAACAATAACAAAAATTTTCTCATTTGATTAAGTATTGTTTTTAATTGTGAATTTCGGGAAATAAGTACGAGATTTCCGAAAATCTTAAGACTTGAGGTAAGCAAGTAAGCTGCAGTTCAAGCTGCAGTTGTTAAATATAATCAATTTTTAAGTTTTTTTTTCCTTGATTTTTTTCCGTCGATCTTGTTTTCCGTACTGAGTACCAATGCTCCCGACGCCAGGAATGCACCTCCCACACCTGGACCCTACATATCGACCCATCAACTCATGAACCGGTGACCAACGGCTTTACTTCCCTTCCGAAGGAAGGCGTGATCAGTAATTTTATGCCTCAAAAATTCAATTGCAATTCTGTTTGTTGTCACAAAAAAAAAATCGACATTATTTTTGAATCAATAAACATATTGTTATTTCTACTGCGTGAATTGTCAGCCTTCATAAAATAAATTTGATTGAATCAACGAGAAATCTCTTTTAAAAACAAACATATTTTTCTTGTTGACCCAGCTGCCAAATTTGACAGCTTACGGCAAAACCATGAAAGCTCTTGTAAATTCGTTTTAAGGGACAATAATGCTGGATTGTTGAAACAATAATGATTTCTTTTTGCAGCCAAAACAAAATGAAATTCTTATTGCATTTACGTCAAATATTATTACGTTTAAAATATTTTTTTCTGCGTGCACCATAGAGGTAACTCTAAGACCACTGGGTCCCGAAGAAAATCATTATTATTTTTGGCTCACTCAGTACCAGAACAACGGTCCCAAGCAGTCCCAAGCTATTTCACCCACCCCTGCATGCTCTGCATGAATCCACATACCCCTGATGTTATCTGTCAAACTTTCATAGTGAATCAAAACAAACATAGTGTAGTAATAGAATTTCAACTAGAATAGGGTACGTTAATCGTTTGCTTGGGACCAATAGGCTACCCAACAAACAATTCAAAGTCACAAATAAGCATACACACTGAATAAATGTTGTATAACAGTGTACAATGCTGAATAAAACAGGATGTCGAATTATGTGCTGAAAAAAGGTCATTGAGATCGATAGATGCGTCTTTATTCCGCTGTTTGCTCTGATATGATTAATTTCCTTATTAAAAGCTTTATAAACGTTGACTGTCTTCCTTATTCAGAACCAGAAGCTTGATCTAATAACAAACTGAATAAGTGTAATTTGCACATACATTGAGACTTTAATTCGACTGTTTTCAATTGATTTAATAACATGCTTTATTATACGTCTAATAAATGTTCTCCAGCTCCTTTATAAGATTGCATTGCATTACTTTACAATATTGTTGAATAAAGGTGAATACAGTCAGCATAATAGCTCTTATACCACTATGCGTCCATGTTGTAATCACATGATTTGTAAATGCTTTATAAACGACGTATTAGATTCATTATTCGACAACACTGATTCAGTCTTACAACAAGGCGAAATCAGTA